AAATACCAACGTGAACAATGACGCAAGACTCGGAAAGGCCACGCTGCTGCTTGCCAGCCAGGCCTGCAAGGGCTGCCAGACATTCCTAGAGGACCCCAAAGAAAACAGGCTGGTCTCAGCACGCAGGGCTTGGGGCAAGAAAAAAGGGCCACCCCCAAACAGAAACAAGGGCGGAGTACAGCCACCTGGAGGCGGGGGCAGTGGTGTGCTGGCTGGGCGGGCCCAGGCCAGAACCCCTGCAGGAGCGCTCACCGCCTCTCCACGGCCTTTCCCGGGATGCAAGTCTGCTGTCTGTTCTTAGGTGAAAAAAGTTCTGTGTGGTAAACCCCCATCTGTTGGAGGCTGTCCCACTAATAAAAGGCGGTCACACACGCTCTACTCCCAGAGTCAACTCCCTGGAAGAGTAGCTGCATTCATTCGGCTTCGAAAGGAAAAAGGAACAGGAGCTCTGCACTGGGAATTCTGCCCTGATGAGATGCTGGCCTCAGAGGATAACAAGACCCAGACCCCAGGACCCAGGATGCTCAGCACCTGGGAGGCTGAGCTGATTCCAGGTGACCACAGCCTAGCCTTGCTGACAGGCTGCTGGCTGGGCTGGTCACAGGAAAACAAGGCAGTGTTCTGGGAAGAAAAGAAAAGGGCTGAGAGTCAAGTTGAATGGGATTAAGCCAGGTCAGAAACAGGACACGGCTTTGCTCAGCTGCTGAGAAAAACTGTCTGATTTGGGACAAATGCCCTGAGTCCCGAGGGTCCTGAGCCTGCCTGTGAGTCTGGATGGGCCCAGACAGCCACGAGTTCCCCCGAGGCCCACTGATGCGAGGGTCCACCTGTGCACGTCTGGCCTGCCGCCCGGTGGCCACGCCAACCAACTCCCAAGGGCTTCCCTCTGGAGGCAGGTGTGCGGGCACTGCAGCTGTGCACCTGCCTCCTGCCCCTGCCCCTGCGCCCATAGCTACGCACACTTCACCAGCACACTCCTCTACAAGAAGCACTGGAGTGGGAAGAGCTCCCGGTTTCTTGGACACCAGTAGGGGCTGGAGAGGGCCATGGCCAGAGTTGCATTTCTTAGTAGCACCTCCGTAAGCCACAGATGTGGACTCCTGATGAGACTCAGGAAGCCACAGCTGCACTTGGCACTGTTAAGAGTCCTTCTTGCATCTGTGCTGAGACCAAGGGTCTGGACAGGCGTGAAGACAGCCATTTTATGGCTCTGGAAGGCAGAACAAGCTAGTTCTATATGCAGAAACCCTTCTGTAGTTTTATCAGTCCTACAACAATCAACTGAATTGCACCTGGCAGAAATGTAGGCTGCCATAAATACTAAATGCCTCAAAACATTTGTCAAATGTCAGCATCAGACTGTCCTGGGTCTCAGGACAGGCACTGAGACTGCTGCCCTCCAGGGGACAATAAGAAGTCTGTGATAATACAGTACTGGGGTACTAAGAGCTATGGGAGGGCAGAAGAAGTGGGGAGACCTCTCTTAGCAGGAATTTGAGCAAACCCTGTAGGAAGTGAGAGGCTGCCCACCCAGGAGAGGGGACGCTGCCAGCCAAGAGCAGAGGCGGCTGCGGCCCTGTCTTCCTAACAGTGGTCCAATGGACTGAGTCCAGGCTGAAAATGCAGTACGTTTTAGGAAAAGCAGGGAAAATAGTTTCCATAAAGAAAACAGGTTTAAGCCAGGCACAGAGGCACACAGCTGTAATGCCAGCTACTCAGGAGGCTGAGGCAAAAGGAACTGCACTTCAAGGCCAGCCTGAGTAACTTAATAAGGCTCTGCTTCAAAGTAAAATGAGAAGGGTTGGGGATGTAGCTCGTGGTACAGCGCTTGCCAAACATGCAGAGGGCCCTGGATTTGATCCCCAGTACTGGCGGGGTTGGGGGGAGGCCTGAACCTGGGTGCGGTGTTGTGCACCTATCATTCTAGCTAGGGCAGAGGCAGGAGGATTGCTTGAGCCTGGGAGCTTAGGGCCAACCTGGGAACACAATGAGCTCCTGCCTTGAAAAACGCAGGAAAGGCTTGAGAGGGCCCAACACCAAAGCAGCACTGGCTCTTCTGTTGGATGACTTCAGAGCCACTTTAAGAGTTCTTTTATTGAGGGGGGGGGGGCAGTACTGGGGATTGAAATCAGGGGCACTAGACCCCTGAGCCAGATCCCTAGCCCTATTTTATATTTTATTTAGAGATAGGGTCTCACTGAGTTGCTTAGCACCTTGCTGTTGCTGAGACTGGCTTTGAACTCTCGATCCTCCTGTCTCAGCCTCCTGAGCTGCTGGGATTACAGGTGTGCACTGCTACCTGGCAAAAGTTCTTTAGAGCGCTTGCCAAGCAAGTGTGAGGCACTGGGTTCGATTCTCAGCACAACTTGTAAATACATAAAATAAAGGTCCATCAACAACTAAAAAACATTAAAAAAAAAAAAAAAAAGAGTTCTTTAAAGCAGTCCTTTGTAGAACAAACTCTTTTGACACATGAGGAAACATGTGACTCACTCTGAACACTCTCTAGGAATGTCACTTGGACTACCACTGGCCAGTACAGCATATGAGGGGATCCATCGCTGCACCTGGGAACGTGCCGTCAATCTTTGCACCCACTGGAGCTGCACACTGCTGCAGAGGGGCAATCCAGAGCCCACTCTTGCTAACAGTGCTCGCGGAAAGGCAGAGCCCAGCCAGGAGGACAAGGCATGGAGACAAAGGGCCCATTCTCGTCCTCTGATGGACAGTCGACCCTTCCAGATTCTAAAGGCTGAAAATGGGCCTTTTAAAGCGCAAATAAAGAGTGTTGTGAGAGGTGGGAGGGGAAGGAAGGGAGCAGGGGGTTAGCAATGATAGTGGAATGTGATGGACATCATTATCCAAAATACATGTATGAAAACATTAATTGGTGTGAACATACTTTATATACAGAGATGTGAAAAATTGTGTTCTATATGTGTAATAAGAATTGTGATGCATTCCGCTGTCATATATTTAAAAAATAAAAGCAACTTAAAAAAAAATCCCTGAGTTAAAGAAAATATATCTGCAGTGCATGGACCTTGGAAAGGCTTTGGGGCACTTCCCAATAAGGAGCTGCTTTAAGCCCAGCATGGTGGCGCACGCCTGTACTCCCAGTGGCTGGGGAGTTTGGGAGGAGGATTGTGAGTTCAAAGCCAGCCTTAACAACTGCGAGGATCTAAGCAACTCAGTGAGACCCCGTCTCTAAATAAAATACAAAATACGGCTGGGATGTGGCTCAGTGGTTGAGTGCCCCTGAGTTCAATCCCCAGTCATCCTCTCCCCTCCCCCCTACCAAAGAAGCTGTTTTGATCCCTTTCCCACATTTTGCCGCGTGTCATGGGAGGGTGTTGACACCAGCAAAGCACGAGATGGGATGGGATGATGTCATTATTAAGCTTTTCAGAAGAGGTCTTAGAACTCCAACGTGGAAAGGACAGTATCCTCAAGTGATGCATGTAGGAGAATGAGGCTGAACCCCTGCCTCACACTGTATACAAAATGTACCTTAAAACTAAAAGCTGCAGCTATGAAACTCTTAAGAGGAAACACCTCTTGTGACCTTGGATCAGGCAATGTCATCTCAGACATGATACCAACAGCACAAGGGTTCAAAATAAAAACAGATACCAATGACAACAACAGGACAGCACAACGACTGGCAGAATGGGGACGCGGCTGCCAATGAGAGACTCAGCAAGGGCCTGAATGCAGAATGTAAGAGCTGTTAGAGCAGCAGCCCTGACAGGCCAAACCGCAAGATGGGGAAGGGTGTGGAGAGAGACTTCTCCAGAGAGGCACAAACGGCCAGTGAGCATGAGACAGGCTTGGTGTCTCAGTCCCCAGGGAAACACGCTGTGAGGCAGCAGCATGGGCACACGTGGGGACGGCCAAGGGGCAACAAGAGTGCTACAGAGGGGGTGGCGGGGCTGCACCTGGAAGCCCCTCTGCGGGCCCTCAGGAAGCGACACCATCACCAGGTGACCTTGGGATTCCTCAGTGCCCGGCCAAGGAGAACTGAAGTCCACACAACACACAACAGTGTTCACAGTCACAGCAGCCAGAAGGTGTAAGGGGCGAAATGCCCAGCAACAGTGAATGAATAACGACAATGTGGCGTGGCCGTGATGCTGATTCAGCTACAAGAAGCAATGAAGGACTGAAACAGAAATGCTGGAACCTGGATGAACCTTAGATGTTCTAAGGGAAAGAGTCCAGATGAGAAGACCACCGCCAGGCTCTGCCACCCCACACCCCCCCTGAACACGCTCACGCACGAGGACGCGGCCCGTGCTGCCAGAGGCAGCAAGTGGGGGTGGAGGAGACGGGAGAGGCTGCCAGCGGGTAGGGAGTTCTCTCTGGGAGACGAGAGCGCTCTCAAGGTGGTGTAGCCAGGACTGCACAACTTTGTGGTTGTACCAGAAACCACCCACTGGACGTTGTAACAGGCACGCCGCGAGGCACACCCATCTCATCACAGTGAAGCTGTAGAAAGTGCACACACACAACTTGCCCAATTCTCCGAGGCCAGGCTTCCACCCTAGTGCCCACGTGCATTCAGACAAACGCAGGGCGTCCTCCGAGTGCGGGCCCAGGCCCGGCCCTGCCTCTTGGCCTCGTCCAGCACAGCGTGCCCACCCGCTCAGCAGGCGGCAGGCCGTCGGCTTCCTGGGTGGAAGGATGTGTGCGCTGCGTTCCAGCTGCAGGAGCAGCACGCAGCCGGCGACAGGCGCCCAGCAAGCCTGCGCCCTGCCTAAGCTCGGGGCCAGAACTGTCTGGGCTTAGGAGAGGGGCGCAGTGCGGAGTGCGCACTACCCAACAGCTGCCCACGACGAGCAGCACCTACCCCACACAGCGCACCTGTTTCTTGGCCACTGCGCAGGTTGCCCGTCCAGGGGCCGCCTCGCAGCCGCCGCCGCCGCCGCCGCCGCCGCCATGCACCAGCTCAGGCAGGCGCCCATGCTCAGGACCCCACCCCCCGGGATCAGGTGGCCTACCTTGGTGGCTGCGGGGAGCGGGGCTTTGGCTTCTCCTTCTCCTTCTCCCGCTCCTTGTCCCTGTCCCGGTCGCGGTGCTGTCGGTCCTTGTCGTCGCGCTTGGCGCGCTCGCGCTCCCACTCCTCCTTCCTCCGCTGCCGCTCCTTGTCCCGCTCGCGCTCCCGTTCGCGCTCGCGCTCCCTCTGCCGACGCTCGCGCTCCCGGTCGCGCTCCCGTTCGCGCTCGCGCTCGCGCTGTCGGCTCTCGCGCTCGCGCTCGCGCTCCCTTTCCTTGGTTAGAAAGGCAAACACACACGCGGTCAGCGGGCGGCCTGGAGGACCCGCAGAGGAGGGAGGGGAGGGAGCAGGGGCTGCGTGGGGACCGCCCAGGCCACGGCGTGCCCAGGGTTCTCCGCAGAAGGCGTTAAGACACAGGCAGGACCCATCAGAGGCACACGAGGTCCGAGACTGAGGTGGCCCTGACCGCCACCCCCAAACCTGTCACCCGTCTGGCACGAGCTGTGCACAGCTGGCTCTCCTGCACAGGACCCAGAGGACATGGCCTCTGCACACGCTCCTTCCTCTAGGATGGAGCCGGCACAGCTGCCCATGCCAGCAGGTGCGCGGAGGGCCCCCTGGGTGGTGCCTGGAGGAGTGGCCCCCCGACACAACCCTTGGTGCAGACGTGGGCATCCCCTGAGACTCAGTGTCACAGCAGAATGAAGCCCGAGCCAGCACACCTGACAGCCTCTGGGCTTTCCTCCAGGGACACGCTGTGCACACCGTGCCTTCCTGCTGTCCCCACCCTCCAGCAGAGGAGGGTCACAGTGGCTGCCCTGGGTAGGGACAGGATACCAGGAGCCTGCAGCCCAACTCCAGGAGGAAGCTGCTCTGTAGAGCAGGTGGGCACCAGAGGGTCGGCCAGGGGTTTTCTGGACTACAGGGTCCTCTGACCATCTGCTGAGCTCCTGGGGCCATGGCCACTTCCCTCTGGTCCTAAGAACTCCTGGCTCTGCCCTGAGTCACAACATAAAGCCTGCCAAACTACTTCTGAGGGCTCTTTCCTGGAATAGTCTTTCCACGTCCCTCCCAGAGCAGAGACCTGGGCTCACAGTCCACAGCCACTGAGCTCCCAGAGCCAGAGTGACTCAGGAGGAAGCACCAACGCAGAGCACCCTCTGCCACACCAAGAAGGCAGAGTGGTCAGAGACGGGTCCTCAGCCCGTGGACTACAGGTGAGTAATATGGCTAAGGAGACTCTCAGAGTCCCCTGAAAACTGGCATCAATGACCTCATGGGCGGTCTGACTTCACAAAGCACGGCAAGAACAAAGTCCGCGGAAGCCCCGTGCAGGTTACAAGCATTCCCAGGGCGCCCACACCAGCCCCCAGGAACCACCAGTGTGGGCTACGTCCGACCCTTTGCTTCAATAGCACCTGGGCTGGCAGAATGAGCTCACGTGAATGAAAGGTGCTTCTGGCCAGGTGCAGTGTGCGGACCTCCAGTCCTAGTGACGCTGGAGGCTGAGGCTGGCAGGGTTACGGCCAGCCTGGGCTACTTAGATCCCTTTTCAAAGGCGGGAGGTGGCGGTGGTTTTAATGGTAAATCAGTGACATTCACATCTGCACATCTGAGTCATACTTACTCGGTAATTATGGTACGGTTCTGTTTCTGTATATTGTACCCTGAAATTCTCGTACTGTCCACCACGCCAAAAGCGCTCTATTTCATAGTCATAGTAAGGATCCGCATAAGGCTCAAGTCTGAAAAGAGAGCCAGTAAGAAGCAAATCTTATCACTTAGGAATACTAGAGGCAAACATGCTACATGAAATACAAGCAAGGAGGACCCAACACCACGTTACAGAAACAACACACCATGACGGTATGGGACTTGGGCCAGGAAAGCAGGGCTGAGTCCGTACTAGGAAATCTGTAATGTGTGGTTACATCCAACAGCAGACCCGAAGAGAAAAAGCACAGAATCATGTGCACAGATTTCGAAAGCACATCCAACAAACACTCAATACCCATTCCTACTGAAAGCACTCAGGAGAATGGGAACCCACACTCTCCCAACAAGACGGACAGAGGACCCTGGAGACCGCACAGCACCAGCTCGCTCTGTAAGGTACACGCAGACTCAACAACCCAGAGAGCTGATGAACAAGGACCCCGGTGAGGCAGAAGGATGGACAGAACCACTTGGAAACCAAAGTCCTCGTGGACATAGGTAAGGACTAGTTAGGAGACAGTGTGAGAAATTCATTCACAACACCAAGGAAGAAGAAAATCACTCAGGAACAAGAGAGTGTCAGCCAGAAATGGCAGGTTTATCCTGAAAAATACGAAGAACAGGCGAACAAACGAGAAGCCTTGGGCAGGCGGCTGAATGCCCAAGCCAGCTCTTCCTGCACTGCTCATAAGCGTAAGCCCATTCCAGAGAACACCAGCGACCTTATTCATGAGGCTGCACAAGCAGATGCCCAGGTCACAGAGGAAGACATACCTACAAGCCAAGCCAATAAACCCCGAAAAAGTGCAGACACCCTCTGAGACACCACAACATGCTAAAGAGCCCCCGCTGTTCATGTCATCCTGTGCATGAAAACAAACAACTGATGGGGGAAGCTGGGAGCCCAGAGACAGACCCAAGGACACAGGCCGGGGTGGCTCCTCACTGAATGAGGCACCTGACCACCCCCTGGGGAGACACCGGACTAGAGCCCAGCACACCTGGGCTTTGCACCAGCCACACCAGCTGGAGGATGGCAGAGCCACAGCTTTACTCCTCTCCTTGGGGAGGGGAGGAGGACAGGGAGTACATGTGGCTCGCATGGGTCCCAGACACCTCCAGGGCAGCAGACTGCTCTCTAGGAGCTCCCCTCCAAGATCACAAGGGCTATGGCAGACATGAACCCCCAAGGCTCTTGCAGACAATGCCTGCATTTTTCATTCCTGCAGAGCTCAGTACTCGGTGGGTCTGTGATGGTGCCGGGTGCTGCAGACATGCAGGGGCAAGCAAACACCCTGAAGTGGGCCTGGACAAGAGAAAGCCAAAGGCCCCCAACACCATCAAGTCTCAGGGCTACATGTTCTCTGACACCAGGGCTCTGCCAGCATATCTGTTTTGGAAACATCATTTAAGCTAAATGGAAAGGCCTCTTTCTTGCAGAGTTTCCCTGGCACACAGGATGAGCCAGACAAAGACAGACAGCTAACAGAATGGAATGCACACACTTCCTCAGCCTGGCTCGAGGTGGGCACCCATCAACATGCTGCTGTTAAGTGTGAGCTTGCTCACAACAGACTTCTCAGGCACTGTCTTGAAAAACACTGAGAAACATCTGTAATGAACCTGGAGGATGTTTGCTCAATTCATTGATGTAAAAACAAGTTCCACTCAAGAGTATCATGGTCTCCACAATCATTTCCCAAATTGTGTTTTAGGAAACCTGAGCTGTCAATGGGCCTCGCCCAAGGGTAGGCAAGGTTGGGCTCCCTGGCTGCATCTGGCAGATGGGATCGTGCACTCCTGGTCTGTAGAGTCTCTGATTAATCAGCGGGCACTGCAGTGTCCTGCACATACTCTGGCAGACGGCAGAGACGCTCTGCATGACAGGTCTTCTGTGGGCCTGGAGCTCTAGGTGCACTACATCACCAGCAGGGTCCATGGGGCGAAACTGTCCCTCTCTGTAGAGGAGGTGGTTTCTGTCTACAGTCCACCCAGGAAGTGGCATGATAAGGTGCAAAGTGAAGCTGCTAGAGAATATGTAAGAATTAAAGTTGGGAGCTAGAAGTTTAGAGTTCAACCCCTTCACTTCAAAGACAAGGAAACCGAGGCTCAGAAAATAATACTAAAGATTCTAAAACATGCACCTCTGCTTTTTATCCCAAGTTATAAAGTATCTCTCAAAGAAACACAGTCTTGCAGGGATAGCACCTGTGCCACCCTCTACATGCTGCGGTAGAGCGGCCTTCCCCACTGGCCAAGGAGGGCCCTTCAGCCAAGCCAGGCGAAGGGAAACTTGCTGGGTCCACTTGGAGCAACCCAGTGCCAATGGTTCCCTCCTCCCTGTCCAGCCTCACTGTCCACAGGCCAGCTGGCACCCTCTCAGTGGCCAGGGTCTCACTCCTTCTGAACTTCCTCTTAACCTCTCAGTTCAAGCAGTTTCAACTGGCACTGGCTCGCTCCCTCCATGGTACCCAGTCTCTCCTGGTTTTGCAGCAAAATGGTGAACACTTCCTCCCACTGGCCACTCTTTGTTACAGGAAGTGGGTGATCTATGTCTGGCTGGGACTCTGACTGGCAGTCTTCCCCCAACATCTACAACAAACACTGGGGTGCAGAGATACTGACTCATACAGCCTGGGAGGGGTCAGGCACAAAAGCCCCCACATCCACTCTGAGCACAGAGAATGTTAAAAAAAACACAGGAACACAATGCAGTCAAAAGCCTGCTCTCGGGGCTGGGGATGTGGCTCAAGCGGTAGCGCACTCGCCTGGCATGCGTGTGGCCCGGGTTCGATCCTCAGCACCACGTACAAACAATGATGTTGTGTCTGCCAATAACTAAAAAGTAAATATTAAAAATTTCTCTCTCTGTCTCTCTCTAAAACAGAGCCTGCTCTCAGCACTGCCCGTAGCCTCAGCTTCAGCAGCTGAGGGCTGCTCCTGCACCACACGCAGGGCAGGACTGGAACCACAGGCTTCTGCACCAAGGCCAGGGCACTCTGTGAAGTCTGTCATCAAACCCTGGCACTGAACCACCTCCAAGCAGACACACCTCACAGCTCCCCATTCCAGCCAGGGGAACGGGAAACAGGGTGTAAAAACTGCCCTTCTTTCCCTCCTATAAACAAGCACATGAATTCAGAGTACTCTGTACTTCCTGAAGTCACACCACCTCCTGAACGCTCACCAATACTCCAGGTGTGAATGACAATACCATCGTGCACACTTTGCTCGAGAAGAGGCTCCTGAGCGTCAGCCCCCTGCCCACGGTGACCCTGCAGACATCTGGGCCACACTCAGTTCTGATTTAAACGTCCTTCTGCCATCTGCCAACATCCATGTGCAGAACTTCACTAGAAGGATGTGCATGTGTTCCTGTCCACAGGGAACCCTCCCAGCATATCCTGCAGGCAGACTCAACTCTACAGACGGTTCCCTTCGTGCCTGTGATAAAGTCTAGTCTATAACTAGGCACAGTGAGAGGCTGACGTAATAACGTAGACTATGACGATATGGGGTGACCAGAGTTACTTAAATTGCTCATCTCTGGAACTTTCCAGCTGAATTTTTGACCACCGTCAACAAACGGCATAATGCAAGTTGTGAGTAAGGGGCTCTGTGCCTGTGGTCTCCACCCTGGGTCCTGAGCACGGGCCCCACTGGCAGGACTGGCACCACACAGTGTGCGCCTGCCTGCCAACTTTGCAACATGAGCACTGCCCCAAGACCCAGGTAGAGACAAGTCAGTGGGACCGCTGGGTGAGATGGCGGTCAGTTCCCAGGACCCGTGCCCTAACCTCACTGCTCTGCCAGCAGAAACCTGGCCCATTTCTGTCCTTTGAGTGTAAAGCACCATCCCTAGGGCAGAAGTGGGCAGGGGAGGCAGCACTTCCCAGGCCACGTGATGCCTTACAATCTGACTCATTCAATTCCGCGTACTTTCTCCACCACGACTTTTAAATGCCAGCACTAAAGGTTTGGAGGGCAGAAATAGCACAGTATGGACAGTGAGAGGGCCACAGCGGCCACGCCCTTGGACTGCTGTGGCGGACGGTGCACATTCCCTGGCTCCTGGTGACCAGCAGAGTGAGGAGAGAGACACACCTAGGGGCTCCAGGGGCTTCCTTGACAGCTGCAGCCACCACAGGGCCCACCACCAAAGGCCAGCAAACAAGGGGAGGCGACTGCAGAGGGAGTCTGAATTAGCTCAGGGGTGGCATTTCCACGCCTTCAAGGATGGGTGGCACCAATGCCAAGGTGCCTTGAGACTCACATGTGGCCACTCTCACCAGAGCACTAGTGAGCGGGGGGCCACTTGATCCCCCCCTTTGTGTTGGGGAACAACTCTGGCTTCTGTTTGCTAGGCAACTGCTTTCCACCAAGCCCTCCCGCCCCTGATCTTCTGTAAGAGGAGGAAGAGCAGAGCATTCCTTACGCTGTATCTCTGACATCTCTCGGGACCCGAGAATTCCAATCTCGGAAAACTTCATTTTCTTTGTCAAACTCGCGTTCATCTTCACCAATGGTCACCGTGAACCTTTTCTCTTCAAAATCAGGTTCCTGTTCTTTTCGAATGGTTGCTTTTTTTAAAACCTACCATTGGAGGAAGAAAGAAGTCACAGTCACCGTGAGGGACGCAGGGAAAAGGTCTGCTGAGGCTGATGGCAAGGGGGCAGACACAGGACCCCCAGCACCAGCACCTCTCGGGAGGGGCATGAGAGCAATGCTGTGGCTCATGCATGCGCAAGTGAGGCACAATGGAGCTTGTCACTTCCTGTGAACAGTGGAGGGACAGGACCAAGGTCCTTCGGTAATGAGGACCCAGTGTGGTGAGTATGCACAAGTGTGTATACTCAGAGGGCGTGTGAAAGGAGGGGTGCTGTCTTCCTCTCCCTGGAGAATGACCAGAGCACTAAGCAGGAGCCACACTGGGCAGTGACAGGAGCCCCAGGGGAGCAGGTGCTGGGCCTCAGGCGGCGGGGAGTGGGTCCTGGGCAGTGGGCCCCATGGAGTGGCTGGAGTCAGCCCTCTGTCTGCTAGGCTGCCCCAACCACCTAAAGATGGCATGTCTGTGTTCTGGGCTTGGCCTCCCTGGCCTCTTGGGGTGTGCCTGTGACCTGGGCCAACTCACAGAGACAATCAGACACCATTTCCATTCTTTTAACTCTTACAGGAACCACAGCAATACCCCATAGCTTCCAAAGCTCTGACTAGGTTTTGGTGCAAGGCAAGCCCATCATGGAGCCTCCTCAGGGCCGCTGGACCGTTACCTCCTTGGCATGCCGGAGTCCTCGCTCCCAGGCACTCTCTGTTGGAGGTTCTGGAGGGGGTGGAGGCAAGATCTCATCGACCACTGGCCCACCCTATTAAAAAAGTGGAAAAGTTGATAAGGCAAGCAAAACTTTAAAATCTAAAGGAAACGAAGCAAAACATCAACTAAAACACAAGCTTGCTGCACATGACTGACTCTCCCGCCCAAGCCTAAAGCGTCCCCCAAAACATCCAGGGCCACTCTGCATAGAAGCGTCCAAAAGGGCCACTCTATGCCTCTCCCCAGCCAGAAGATGCCTTGTCCACGAGGCATATACTAATTTGTCTTAAGCCTGAGATTCAGACAGTGCCCAGATGTTCAATATGCTAGCAATTAAAGAAGAGGTGTTCACGCACCCAAGGGTTGGCAGGCATCAGTGGGTGAGGTCCAAGAGGCGGGGCACCATTAGGCGGGAAAGGGTCAGCTTTGGTGATGAGGGAGTAGTTCCCTTTGTCGTTCACTCCGGGGTGTATGAACCTACAATTCATTCCCCAGGTACAATTTCCTGGGGAAACAAAAGTCAGGTCAATAAGGATGCCAGTAGCCTAACTGTATGGGCAGTGACTGGGATGAGCAGCAGCAGCATGTACTAAAGACCCGGAATGTTCTATATGGCCAGCTAGTGCTCCAGCGGTCCCTGGATGAGGAGATGGGTGTGCTGAGCCTGGAGAGACCCAGAGCCAGTGGCTGCGGTCAGGGTTGCCTGGCCTCCCTGCCCCTCCACAAGGCCAGGCAGCCTCTTGCACACGAGAGCGCCACAGCAGGCAGGCTGAGCCACCTGGGCCCTGGCTCAGCTGAGAGCTTCCGAGACAGCACTCCCTAGAGGATCCCAGGCCCTGTTTCAAAGTCACTTTGTGAGGCGTGCATGCAGTTAGCCTCCACATCTGCAATTTGTACATCCATGATTCTCCAAATGTAGACTGAAATTATTCCCTGCATCATTACTAAACCTTTACAGACTTTTCCTGTCATTACTCCCTAAACAATACAGTATAACAACTGTTTCCACAGCACTTACACTGTGTTGGGCACTACCACTGATCTAGAGATGACTGAGTCTATGGAAGGCTGTGTGCAGGCTCTCTGTGAGTGCTATGCCATGTCACACCAGGACTTGAGCACCTGAGATGTCGGCATCTGTGGGGATCCTGGAGGATACTAAGGACAGTTGTGTATATCAATGAGCATTAATTAGAACAGAAAATTCTCAGAGCTCTGCAGACCCAAGGTTCAGTGCAGAGACATGCTGCAGCCTCCAGGCAGCCTCTTCAGGCACAGAGATCATTCACACTGAAGTAGAAATTGATGGGAAGCACTGACAATTACCAGAGTTCTGCAGGTCTATCCCAGGGTGATCTTCACCATCTCCATATATTTGTACTTCCTTATCAAAATTCTCAGAACCACTCTGGGATATTTCTGGGACTTAAAAATGTGTGATAAATTAAAGACACAGCGATGATTATAATAAAACTAGGCTTTTATACTTTGCTCACAAAGAATCAAAACTGATTTTCAGCAACAGAAAACCAGGATCATCAAGGGAAACCAATAAACTTTTCAGCACAAAATGTATAATGCCTTATCAGTGACTGAACTGCTTTTTTTAAACTTATTTTTTTAACAGAATATACAACGGGTTCAAAAACAAGCATGGCTTAGAGGATCTACATAGTTTTACAAAACATTTTCAATGGGTAATATGTAGCTAGATTTTAAGTAATTTAAAAATATATGTTCAATCCAAAACAATGATATTCATTTTGAATATTTCTGTCAACAAATCACGTTTTCTCTTCTATAATTAAATAGAAACAGTCATTAGGTATTTAGGAAAAACAAACTTCACTTTTAAGCGTTATGAATAAAGCTGGTATTAAAACCAACTCAATATAACATAATAGCATTTGGTCTAAATTAAACATGAAATAAAGTATACTTAAAAAATTGTTTCTCTGGAAATTAAAAAAAATGACAAAATGACTTTTTAAAATTTCTAAAAATATTTAAGAGAACACATGTAAGTCAAAAGCAGCTGGAAACACTCTTCTGTGGGGTTGGGGTCCCCAGGCCTCAGAGGGCTCAGAAGCAAGACTGCAATCAGGCATGGAAGAGATCACAAGCACCATCCACTTCACAATCCAACCCACAACATCCACGCCACATTTAACGTTGTTTGTTATTAAAATATAACAAAAGCTTACTGTAGAAAATTTTCAAGTACAGAAAAGTATTAACAATATAAATCACGCTTTTCTGCAATTTCCTTATCATATATATCTGGGTGGTAAATGAGCAGATATTTGCTATTTTTCGATATTCACAAACTTTCAAGACAAAAACCAAAGCACCACCCATAGGCCCACTACCAAAAGACACCTCAGGGCACGCATGTAGCAGGAGAGAAACGAGGAACAGGTGCGCCAGAGGAGGCCATGGAGCATGGGGAGGAAGGTGAGAGGGGGCCCAGGCATTCTGCCAGATGCAGTGACAACGCCCGGCCGGCTCCCCGGGCCGCCTATTACTGGCTGCTAAGCCAGCACCCGCTGAGAAGGGTCCTGAGCCCTGGCCACCCAAGCAAAGAGGAAGAGGGCTCCAGGAAGGAGGAGAGCTGTCTAGCAAAGGGCAGACACAGAACAAGAGTGCCTAAGCCCAGCACCAAACCACTGGGACTGAGGGGAGGGGAACCTTGACGCCCCATCAGTACATTACTGTCATCATTTTAAAAGAATTTGTTTAAAAAAGGCAATGGAGGGCAGGGTTATGGCTCAGCGGTAGAGCACTTGCCTTGAATGTGTGAGGCACTGGGTTCGATCCAGCATCACATAAAAATAAAGTAGAGGGGGGCTGGGGTTGTGGCTCAGCAGTAGTGCGCTCGCCTAGGACGGGTGGGACCCGGGTTCGATCCTCAGCACCACATAAAAATAAATAAGTGAAATTAAGGTATTGTGTCCAACTACAACTAAAAAATAAATATATAAAGAAAAAAAGTAGAGGTATTTGTCTATCTACAACTTAAAAAAAAAAAAAAGTCAACAGAAGCAAAAATACAGATGTTTTAGAACAGCGAGGTCTTCTGCTTGTTGTTTTGGTATGTCTGGGGATTGACCCCAGGGATGCTCTACCACTGAGCTGTACCCAAGCCCTTTTTATTTTTTATTTTGAGGCAGGATGGCCTCAAACTTGCCATCCTCCTATCTTAGCCTCCAGAGCTGCTGGCATCGCAGACCGCGCTGCCTCACCCAGCTGGTTGTCTGCTTCTAAATGGAATTTCACAAACACAAACCCTGGGTGAACTGCAATTCTGTGGGCATAAACAAACGCTCACTCTTCCCGTGCTAGGACTCTGCAAGTGGAAATGGAGACAAGCCAGAGCTGTCGAGACAGGCCCGGCAGCTCCTTCCCCCCTGCAACATCTAAGTGCCACCCTCAGCACATGGGGCTTCCCAGGAAAAGAGTATTCTTTTCTTAACTGGAGGGTGGGCACCTCGGCAATTCTACCCTTTTTTAAATTCAGCTTTATGCCCTATAGACACTGTATATGTTATACACATGTTTCATGATAACACAACTAGACATGGAAATGCAGGTAAATAAAAGTATCCACAGCTGTGAAAGGCAGCCAGTGAGGAACCCTTCCTACTCCGGGCCTCCAGGGCCCTGTGTCAAAAGTAGTCCTTAACTTACTGGACCAGTGAACCTCTAAGGACACACTTGCCAGTTTCCCTTGAGTACACTGTATTACTCTGTGTTGCTTTTTGTCACTGAACAATATAGCTACAAAAAAGGAACCCATGCCTTAATAGAAACAGACCCAAACTGTGTCAGTGACACAGATACAACATATGTACAGGAAACTGCTGCACCTCTGGCCTGGCAGTTGCTGGCCACAATCCCATGTCCAACAACCAGGGATCCCTCTTTCCTAGTGTGAGGTCACCAGGAGCAGCATACACAGTGTCTGTGGTGTGCAACTGCATGAGAGCTCATGTGTGTTGGGTCCACAGACTACCAGAATCTTAGTTTTTGATTTGTTGAACAGCCAACCAATCCCATCCCTCAGACACACCATCCCCACATTTGCAAAGGTACTGCTAGAACAGCTGAGGTAATTTTACAGTGTTTCTACTTCCCACACAAAGTACCTGCTTTATACCCTAACTGTAAACAAAGCCTTCTGACACAGTGATTATATTTAAATTCCCCTCAGTCCCCTCTTTCCTGTTAGCCTGCATAATTCCAAGCAGGTAATAAACAGAGGATGTCTAGGTAAAGAAAAGGTTAAAGTGCTTCAGTGGTTTTTCAAAAACACTTCACAAAAGGAAGTCAGAATATACAAAAAAAAAAAAAAGAAAGAAAGAAAAACAAAAACAAAAACAACAACAAACCCAGTAACTAAGCTTAAGAGCAAACCAAAGAGCTCTGAATCTGCATGTTGACAGGCCAGAAACCCAGTGAACCTCTGCACACCACGGGCACCAGTGACCACACAAGGACTCCTGGGTCGTATCCCTCCTCAGCTCACCACAGCAGAGGCGAGGCAGATAACCAGGCTCATTCGGGGAGACTCAGGATGCTCGTGTGGCAACTGAGAGAAGAGCACAACTTCTCAGCTGCTTCTTTAAGGAGCACAGACTTGAGACTAGCAGTTTTCTTAACCTTTTTTCCCAGCACCCTAGGTGGCCTGTTTATGGGGGTCATTTCTAGTGATATTTTCTGTATCCAAGCTAAATGAGAAACCTCAAAGATATTTCATGAATCTACTTAAAAATAAATCAAATGTCTGAAAACATAGATATTCCATGAAAACATTCCTTGACTACTTGACAGGAGGAGTGGCATGAGGTCTCCTCTGGCAGCTTCGTCCTGCTGACAGCAGCAGGATGCTCCATCTGCTTCTGTGCTCCAGGGTGGTGCAACTGCAGAGAGGTGCTCACAGCCCCCCAGACACTCTTGCTGCTGTCCCCACAGGCCTCCAGACGAGTGCTGTGCAGTGGGACCCCAGCTCTCAGGAAGTTCTTGGTCTGTCTGCAACTCTGAGCGCACCTCTTCCCTGGCATGACTCTGCAGCACCACCCAGTGGTCAGGTGGAGAATTCGCTACACAATGGGAAGCAGATGCAGTCGGTGGCAGATTCCAATTTTCCAAAGTCTCATTTTATTTGAGAGTGCAGGTTTTAACACTGTTTGCAAATTGCCATTGTTCTATTTGAAGTGAGGGGCCCACATTCGTCCTGCCAAGGGCCTAGGCCCACAATGCTATGGTACATCTGTCTGTCATTTTTTCCAGGCACCATTCCATCACCTGTCACTCAAACCTCCAATGCACTGTCCCTTAAGACCCTCAAGTCCCTCTCAAGAGGCTTGGGTGTGGGGCGAGGGCTCCATGCAAAAGGCCATCCCATTGTGCTGAGATGAACACTAAGGGATCTTTCACCATGGTGCAAAAGCTCTAAACTGGATTGTGGTGATCGCTGAACAACTTGGCAAATTCATTAAAAATCAATTAAAAACTGTACTCTTAAAATGTGTGAATTCTGTGGCATGTAAGCTGTACCTCTATGTTTCTTTATATATATATATATTTTTAGTTGTTGATGGACCTTTATTTTATTTATTTGTATGTGGTGCTGAGAATCGAACCCTGTGCTTCAGGCATGCTAGGTGAGTGCTCTACCGCTGAGCCACAACCCCAGCCCTGTGTTTCATTTTTTAGAAGACATTTACTTAAGTGTAAAGTTTAATTAAATTATAATGCTTACTGCTGTATAAGACGCTGAGTGGATCGGCACTCTTCATGAGCGCACGATGGTGAACACCTTACTACCAGCATGGTCTTAGTATTAGGAAACAGTTTTAACCTGCAGGAGGTGTCCTGATAGGGTCTCAAGGACCCCCAGGGGTCCCCAGTCCACACTCTGAGGCCTGCTGCTTTAAACACAAAAGAGAATGCAGGGATTTGAAAATGAACAAAAGATATTTCTTAAGGAAAATATACAAATGGCCAAGCAGCACATAAGTGGCTAAACACACACATTAGGAAAATACAAATCAAAACCATAAGGTGGCCCAGTACAATGGTGCATGCCAAGTCCCAGTGGCTCCGGAGGCTGAGGCAGGAGGATCACGAGTTCAAAGCCAGCCTTAGCAAAAGTGAGGTGCTAAGCAACTCAGTGAGACCCTGTCTCTAAATAAAATACAAAATAGGGCTGGGGATGTGGCTCAATGGTTAAGTATCTCTGAGTTCAATCCCCAGTACCCCAAAAAACAAAAAACACACAAGAGGCCACCTTGCACCCACTGGAAATGCTCCTACAGAAAATCAAAGCAATGCTGGTGAGGGTGTGGAAATATGGGAGCCTTTGTGCACTGCCGGGGGACACAGAAGGGTGCACCCACTGTGGAATAGAGCTGGGCAGTTCCTCAAGACATTAAAAGTAAGGCTGGGGGCCAGGTGCTGGTACATGTATGTAATCCCAGTGGCTCTGGAGGCCGAGGCAGGAGGATCTCAAGTTCAATGCCAGTGTCAGTAATTTAGTGAGGCACTAAACAACTCAGCCAAACCCTGTCTCTAAATAAAATATTTAAAAAGTACTGGGGATGTGGCTAAGTGGTTAAGCACCCCTGGGTTCAATCCTTAGTACCAAAAAAAAAAAAAAAAAAAAGTAAAGCAGGAGTTTAGTTCAGTGAAGAGCTGCGCAGAACATATGAGGCCCTGGGTTTGATCACAGCTCTATCAAAACAAAGGTAGAATCACCCTATGACTTGCAATCCCACTTGTGGTCTATATTCAAAAAAACTGAAACCAGGGGTCTCAAAGATATTTGCACACATGCTCGTAGCATTATCCACAGTACCAAGAGGTGGAAACAAGCCAAATGTGCAATGGCAGGTAAACAGACAAAAACAATGCAGTCTGTGTGTTCAATGAAATATTATTCGGTCTTAACAAGGAAGGAAATTCCAGCACATGCTGTGCACAGGTGAACCCTGAGAAGTAGGCCCTACAAAATGAGCCAGTCACCAAATGACAAATGCTGCACGATTCCACTTACATGAGGTACCAAAACAAAGTTGGGTCCACGGAGACAAAAAGCAGAGTGGGGAGTGCTGGGACTGGAATAGAGAATAGGGACTGTGGTTTGCTGGGCACAGTTTCAGTGCTGTGAGCTGACAATGTCCTAGAGATGCTTGATGGGGACAGTCACACAACAAAGTGCTTTCAGTGACCCTGAATCAAGATGGTCAATTCCATGAAAAACACGTTTCTTCCACAATTAAAAAAACCAACAACAAGGGCAATTACAAATGGACTGGTGCTTGTTCACAGAGGGATACAGAAACCTGAAGCAGGACAGCTTAAAGAAAATGCTTCTTGCTGGGCGTGGTGAGGCACAACTATACCCGATGACTCGGGAGGCTGAGACAGGAGGATTTCAAGTTCAAGGTTAGCCTCAGCAACTTAGCGAGACCCTGTCTCAAAATAAAAAATAAAGAGCTGAGGATGTGGGTCAGTAGTTAAGTGCCCTTGGGTTCGATCCCCAATACAAAAAAAAAAAAAAAAAAAAAAAAGGACAAAAAAACCTCCAAATGCTTCTTATTCCTTTGTGTATGGAACTCTTGTGTCCTGCTTTAACAGATCTAGAGGTAAAAACATGCCACAAAGTATCAATTCTTGAAAATGTTTAAAAGTTGTGTTGCTGGTACACTTTGTAGTCAGTGGTCACAAGTACCAATGTGTGCCCTGGGCAACTAAATGCTTTATCTATAGATCACAAGTAGCCATGGAAGTATACCTCACACACCTGTTAAAATCATATGATCTAGGGGCTGGGGTTGTAGGTCAGTGGTTGAGCACTTGCTTGCCTCTCATGCATGAAGCACTGGGTTCAATCCTCAGCACCAGATAAAAAAATAAATAAAATAATCATGTCCATCTACAAAAAAAAAAAAGACAAATATACAATCTAGTAGTTTTTAGTGTACTCACAAAGCTGTGCAGTCATAACCACCATCTAGCTAGAATGTTCAAGAAGGAAGCCCTGCATTCCTCAGTGCTCAGCCCCACCCTCACGTGGGCTCTGCCGGCTCTGGAGATGCATGTTCCTGGAGTCCCACACCAAGCCCTGAGCAGCCCTGCATGCTGGCTTTCCTCGCTGGCATGTCCCCCAGGTTCCTGCAGCTAGCCAGCGTTCCTTTCCCTGGGCTCCTACCTGCCGTGGAGTGTTCCACTGCATGGATGGACTCCTTAGCTTTGGGACACCTAGAAGGTTTCCTGTTTTGGGTGCTTGCAAGCCCTCTGGCAGGGCCATATGTCTTCTCTCCTCTTGGTCAGAAACCCAGAAGCAGAAGTGCAGGGCCATGGGGTAACTAACAATGTCCTTTACTCCTGAGCAACAGCCAGACTGCACCAAAGCAACAGCACCATCTCACACTCACCCTGGCACTGTGTGAGAGTGCCAGTGTGCTCTGTTCGTGTCCTTGCCAACACGACAAACTCTATTATACTTTTAAAGTAATTTCTCTTGTTCCTGAAGAGTTCTTAAACCAACTCATCTCAATTTAACATCACACTTCAAACTGCAGGTAAACAAAACACCTACATCCAAATAAATTTCTCCTAAGAAAAAGCAGAAGATTACGTTCTGCCAAATGGATTCAATGGTTTCCTTTCATACTACATCACCTTTCAGAATAACCAACAAGAAGAAAGGTAAATATGCTTAAGAACACTCCTCAATGGGGCACAGTAACATAGGTCTGTGATCTCAACTATTTGGAGGGCTGAGGTGCAAGTTCATGGCTAACGTGGGCCTCACAGCAAAATCCTATCTCTGAAAAGAAAAAACAAAACAAAACAAAAAAACCAAAAACAACTAAGGACCAGGGATAGGAATGTAGCTCAATGATAGAGCACTTGCTTAATGTGTGTGAGGTCCTGGGTTTGATCCCCCAGCATTGTGGGAAGGTAAGAAAAGAATCATTCTTGAAAGAAGTTTTTGATCACATTCAATTAAGCTGCAAAAATACCACTGGCCCCAGTTTCCACTCTCTTGACTGCAGAAACTGCTTTGCGAGACCTCACTCATGGACACTCAAGCTTAGCAGTCTCACCCACCCTGCCCTGCATCCATGGAGACAATGCCGCTGCTCTCGTGTACCAGCATCTTCCCAGAGATTCAGTTTACATTTCCAGTAACGATCTTGCTTCATCTGTTCTGTGCTTTGGTTGTTAAATTCTGAGAACCAACGTAGCAGCGTGAGCCCAGTTCCTGGTCCAGAGCCTCCACTCAGAGACAGTGGGCCTGCTGTCTCCTGCTATGGAACCTGTGGGCTAGTCCTAACCAACTGGCTCCACTTCTGAGCCATGCAGCCACCAGAGACCAGGACAGTGTGTGGCACAGTCTGTAAGCAGTGCTAATTCAGTGGCTGCAGCTGTGTGTGTGTGTGTGTGTGTGTGTGCAGAGTTCTCCAGTATCACTTACGTCTAGGAATCAGAGACCATCTGACGTCATTTAATCTCACACCACTATAGAAAATAGGTCTTCTAACGACGTTTCACTTTTCTGAAATATCAACACTAGAAATGCCCAAGTTTTTAAGGAACTAAGATGTGGTGTACACTGCTGTGTCCTCAGTGTGGCTATGGTGACTGTCACAAGACGGAGAGACACGTCACATGGCACATGGCTGTGGGCTCTAGATTTTTCCACAACCCCACTGGTCCAACAGGACTGTGTGCACACTGGGGGCATCACATGCACATATAATTCAGATGGGTCAACTGTTTTCACTTGGCAAAAACAAGCATACAGACAGTGTAGGCTAAAAGCACACACCCTAGAGGAGCGAGCCTGACCAGGGTTCTCAGGAATCCCTCATCAGAGTATCTCTCGGCCTGAGGGTGGGGTTACTCAAGGGCCAGTCTCAGTGCAAACTGCCCTATCTGTAAGACGGGACTCTACTCCCCCCACCCCAAGTCAGTTCCTGCCTCCTCCCAAGCAAGCTGCTGCACCTTTGCCTCCACCTTTGGCTCTCGTGCCTCGGAGGAAAAAGGGCAGCCACAACAGCTCTCTGTCCCTTGAAGCCCTCCTTCTTTGCAGTGTCCCAGGCATGATCTGGATCCAGGAGGAAGAAGTCTGGCCTCTGGAGCAGGGGACTTTAAGGTACTAAAGAGAGTGAATATGGGATATTTTGTACCTTTAACCTGGCCTCTGAGTGGTATGGAATTTGGTATTGGTGGAAGAAGAGTGGATAATGGTGTCACAACATCTGGAAAAGAAGTACAGGAAGCTCTTGTGAGCTTTAGACTGCACACACAAGCTGGCCAGTGAGCAAGTCATCTAAGGGCAAGAGGAAACCATCTCTTTACCTATCCAAGGGAAGCACCCATACAAGAAACATGCCCATCAGAGAAACTCTTACAAACTAACATCCCGAGACTCTACAAACGAGACACATATCACCATGCTGAGGGGTCATGCTACATGCTGACACAGGGTCAGTCCAGATTTCTAAGCAAGGGTTTACCAGACTGCGCCTGCTGCCCAGCTACTCAACTCACACTGTTCTCTGCAGAGTGCCCTCCCTTGCCTTCTCAAGTCCATCCCCAGTGAAGAACGTGCTGCAGGAGTTGGTCATCTCTTACAGAGGTGGGGGGACGTTAACACGGGTGCCGGAGTGTTCAGCCTGACAGAAGGGACCCCTTAGAAAGACAATGGCTGCTGCCTGTTAGTCACGGGTCTACTCCAAGTGTGTGAAAGTGACAGGCTGGCTCTCCTCCAAGGCAGTCTCTTAAGCGAGGAAAGGACCAATAAAAGGGTCTGCTGTTGAACAGCAGCAGCCGCAGCAGCACTCAGGGTCTGGCCCTACAAGCAGCCTCGCACAGCAGGACCCTGATGAGGCTGAACCTCCAGCTGGGTCCCAGGAGAGGCTATGGCTTTGCAGCCTGAGCAGAGCCCAACCCAGACAATTACCTTTCATGAAGAATCGGCAGGTGGGGCGAGGCCTCACCTTCCTGTCACTGGGGTCCTTCACTTCGCCTTCCTCCAGATCATCATCCTGCAACAGAGGACACTTGTCTTAACGAGGTGACTGCCCCCTGCACTGCCTCTATCGCAGGGCAGTACAGAAGTTGAGTGTGGGGAACACTGACGTTTTCCATGAGGCGTGTCTTGGCCACTCACCAATGCATGTCCGTTTCCCCAACCCTGGATTCCATCCTGCACCACAGGGATGGTCTCAAAGCTCGCCTGTAAGCTTGAGGGCCACAGGAAGAACACTGTGTTACAGTGTGGGCTACATGAAGCTCTTTACTCTGCCTTGTGGCTGATTCTTGATCCAGGGTCCTAACCTTACTGTCCAATTCTAAAGTGACTCAGGAGCTCTACAAAGACCAAAGGCTGGGGTTCCAATGAGCAACCAAGACCTGACCACTGCTCTGTGCTCCCTAGCCACCCACTGCCCCAGGGCTCGTTCCCACCAAGCTGCAGCCAAGACTCCCACCTGTGCCTCTCAGCTGAGACTCTTCCTTGGACCATCCCAGCCCACACGGGCACCCAGTACCCTCCCCACAGCCCTAGCACCAGAGGAAGAATGAACAAACATGTCCTCTACTCTTCCCAAAGGGATGGTATACTCCAGGTGGCTGAAGGCCTTCTAATCAAATGACAAGATATAAACGCAGAACAAACAGGAGGACTTGAGCTGGTGATGTCAAGGCAAAGACCCATGAAGACCGCAGAAACCGCTTATGGCACACAGGAAGGAAGCCTGGGTGGTGAGAGACCACTCAGAGGTGTGGGAGAACGAAAGACCAGCAGGCAGTTCAAGGCCTCACACAAGCAGACGCATGCAAATGGCAGACTTCCCAACACCGCCACTTCACATCTCTAAGTCCCTCAACTTTAATGTGCCCCAAGGCAGTAAGATTCAACTGTATGCTCAACAGTCACCAACAAGTTGCCTATAATGTGTCAGGCCCTGGGGACAAGAGGTTGATCAGTCAAGTAGATCCCAACCTAGGAGTCTCCGTTCTTGGGAAGGGGTCTGAAGAACCAACCAACACCCTGGAATCACAGTGGAGTGAAGACGGCTTGAGCCCCCACAGAGGATGGGGAGGCAACCAGGATGTAGATTTGGGCAAGAGACAGCAGGAAGAAACCAGAACTATTCCTGGGGCAAGTCAGGTGTGCTCTAATGGGGACGGAAACTACCAACCACAGCTCCTGCCCACTTACCTACCCGGTTAAGGTGTGCCCTGCTTTCCCTGTCACACCCCCAGCATGTTATCATGGGCCTGGCACAGAAAATGAAAGGCCTCCTCTGCTGCTGAAGGACAGTGGTCACACTGCAATGGAGCTGAGGGGCCTTTGTAGGAGGCACAAGCAAACAACAAAAAACCCAACACACACCACAGGACCTAAGTGGGGCACACACTGTCTCTAGGGGAAACAAGACTGTGGCATTGTCCAGGGCTGGCTGGCTGCAGCACTAAGATCCTCCATCATCCAAGGAAGCCCTGACCCCCTCTGATGAATGCTCCCCTAGGACTTGTTAAATTGCTGACACTGGAAGGGCCTATAACAGTCCTCTCAACTGTAAACGGAGTGTCCAGTGCCCAGATTGGCCCCACCACACTCCTGCTGGCTTTGGAAAGAGCATTTCTCTCCAAAACACCAAAAACCCAAACTCATGAGCAATCATAACTCACAACCTCATCCAAATTGATCAACTTGAGTCTCACAGCACCTTTTCTCTTTGCCAACCCTGGGATAGAGGTAAACTTCCCAAAAACAGAAGCAGGGAAAACAAAACACAAGGAAACCTGCTCAACACAGTCCTGACAACCCCCTGCAAGGTCAGATTAAGCAAGTCATTAACTAAGGAGAGCACACAGCAAGAAGATAAAGACCTAAAATCCTAAACTCACAGCCACACCCCCCCCCAGAGTTCTGCTCTTAGGAACCAACACCAATTAGGTAATACCCACAATCCTTCTGCCTGTCCAGCATGACCAGGGCAATAAACCACAGCCCAAATCGAACTGAATCCACACAGGCCAGCGTCCTGCCGGAGAGGAGGGTACATGGGTTAACCTAGGACTCCACATCCAACTGGCAGGCTTCCCTCTCCTTCCAGCCCACGTCCAACATACCTTCCTTCCACTCAATGACACGGACAAGGAGACTCTCTTCCCAGGGCACCCAAGAAACCCCAGACCTCCCATTAGCTCTGTCCCCTCATTCGTCTCAAGTTCAATACTTCGAAAAAAAATACTGCTCAGACTTCAGGCTATTTTTTCCAAAACACTGCTCATTCAAGTTCTTCAACATAATTACCTCCCATGAAATGAGACCCACCACGTCTAAGATCAAGTTACTGAAGGCCAGACCCCCACTGCAGTGGGGCCTGGGTGTTCTCAGGGGTCCGTGGAGACTGTTGGCTGCCACCTGGCACAAAAGCCTTGCTGCAGGCCTACTCGGCATTCTCCGTGTTCGCACTTGCCTGCTGTCCCAGCACAAGCCCACCCCTGTCCCCCTAGCAACGAGGACCAACAGGAGTCCGTCCTGTCGCGTGGGCCCCCACTGGGAGCGAGAAGCCCTGCTGGCCAGGCCGCCCCTCGTACTCACGTCTATCTCCCCGTCATCAATCTCTCCGTCATCGTCCTCTTTTTTCTTCTCCTTGGTAGCCTCTGGGGGCTCCTTCTCGCCCACACCCTGGGCTTCAGGCTTCCCCTCCTCTGCAGGAGCGCCTTCCCCCTTCTCATCCTCCTCAGCCCCTGTCTTTTCGGCCTCGTCCTCTGGGGCCGCAGGAGCCGGCTCCTCGGGGACCTCCTCATCATAGTCTAACTCGTGCTCATCCAGCTCCCTGGTCACAGAGGAGGCCTCATCCCTGAGGTCGCTTGCACGGTCCTCCTCGCCGTCATCTGCCTCCTCCTCACAGGGGGAGCCTGCAGGACCCCTGTTCAGCTCGTGCGCCTCAGAGTCCTGATCCTGGGATTTGGGCTCACTGGCTCGGTCCTCCTCATCAGAGCGACTCTCCTCCTGGCTTGGTGCCCTGGCTGTGTTCTCCTCATCCTCTAAATCAGAAGCCCTCCCTGCAGCTCCATCCAAATCCTGATCAGACCCACTTTCCCTTAGAATGTCATCGTCAGAAAGTGCTGGCTGTTCCTCTTCATCCTCTGGGGAGCGAGGATTCTGTTCAGGGCTCTCAGCCACATCCATCGGTACCCACGGTTCTGGGAAAGAAACAAACACGGGCTTACAGCATGGAGCGGGATGGAGGGTAAACCCTATCCTGTTCTCCTAGCTCATGCAGCACCTGAAGGAAGAAGCAGACCTGCACTGTGTGTGGCCCACATGGCTTCTCCTGAACCCACATGAACCCACATGCCACCCTGCAGAAAGACCCCACAAGGCTGGACCACACTCTACTAAGCGGCATAGCACGTGCCTCCTTTTCTGGCAATCTGGTAGCATGAGACACATGGCCTGGCACAGCCCTTCCACTCTCAGGTGCAACCTTCAAGGTTAACAGACAGTAAGCCACAGACGGCAAAGGACAGCTATTTGGATTCTTAAATTACTTCTCAAAGTCAGTAAGATTTTCATGGATCAAGGGAGCACAACTCAAAGGCACATGTCTGGGGTCATCCCAAAGGGAATAGAGCACAGCCTGGGTCAGGGTCAGTGGTTTGCAAGCTTGGAGCCTTTTCTGTTGCTGAAGACAATTCTCAAAGCAGAGCCTTCCATTTGCCTTAGTTCCTCAGGTGGACACTCTTTAAAGAGAGCCTGCAGGGGCTGGGACTGTAGCTAAGTGGTAGAGTGCTTGCCTAGCATGTGTGAGGAACTGGGTTTGATCCTCAGCACCACATAAAAATAAAGGTTAAAAAAAGGGTCTTAATGAGACAGAGAGACAGCCTTCAGGTTGTCACCAGACTTGTGCACTCAGACTCAGCAGGTGCCCAGGGCAGTGCTCAGGGTCCAGAGACGTGCCAGAGACAGCAACACTATTTCCATGTGGGTACCTGTTGTGGTAGAGAACTTCACACACCAAGCCATGTGCTTATGTAAAAAGATGGCAGCATCTTAGAAGACTGCACTTCTGTTTCACTAATCCAGATTTAATTACAGAGTCAACGTTTTCTTATTTTCCCACATTGAAAATCCACGGAAGCACACTGCTCCATTTGTCTCAAAGGCAGTTTGCCTGACGTGGGTCAGAGTGCACGTGCAGGGCACCTAGATCATCAGCCTATAAGCCAGCATTTCCAACCCTCCAACCAATGGGCAGTCTCAACTGTGGTGACAGGTATGGGCAAGAGTCTGGTATCCATCTGATTCTTTATAATGTGAAGCTGTTCAAAAAGTTTTTTTTGAGGGAAGGATCTCACTGAGTTTCCCAGGCTGACCTCAAACTTGCAATCTCCTGCCTCAGCCTCTTGAGTAGCTTGGACTACAGGTGTGCACCATTGTCTTGGACTAAAAAATTCTGTTTAAAATAAGGGTATCACAGTCAGGATGTTCTAGAACTGCAAGATCTAGAAACAGTTTATTCATTCCCAGATCACTATGGGTTTAGAGGTAGCAAGTCATGCACATTCACATATTTCATATTTTTTAAATTATTTATACAATTTTATATTTACATGTTAAAGGTAAAAATATGTATATTGTAAATTTATACTTTTATTTTTTTCAATATTTTTTATTATTATTAAATTTATACTTGCAAAGGGCTGAGCTGGTACCAAAAACTACAGTTAGAAAAAGTATGTATACATGCATACATATATATCTAAAACTACAATAAAAAAGCATATATGTACGTATATGTATATTTAAGTAGCAGATTACTATAATTGAATAAACATCAGAAGAACCACTTAAATTTCACCACATTATAAAGACACAATGGTTAACCATCATATAAAGTTATAAACCAACCAACCTATCCTATGTCACTCCAAAGTAGGCAGTTTAGAAAAGGATCACCTCTGCTTTCCTTACTGCTGTATTCAGAGGTAGGACTGTTGGAAAGAATCGTTAAACATCAGTGCTGTAGTGGCAAACTACACCGGAAGCAGAAACTCGAGGAGCCCACCACCCAGCTTCAGGTGGGCCTCCACACAGGGCTGCAAATCGACTCCTGCAGCAAGGGCAGAGCTCACCACCAAAGGGACTGGAGCCAGGGTCAGTCAGGGAGGGCCAGGGCCTCCATGCTCTCCCACTGCTAAGACCAAAAGCTCATGTGTGCATGTAGTGGCAGGGTTACAGCAGTCAGTCAGGGGCTAGCGCCAAACTGGCAGTACCTGTAGCTTCTGATTATTAGTGACATCAACAAATCAACTGTGCCCATAAGATTACCTTTGTGTAGAACATCTTACCTCTAGTTTTGTATGATTTTTATTAGACTTACTTTAAAACTTTCCCCAGAGAAGGGCAAGGACTTTTCATCTCCCAAACCCTGGGTGTGGTACTTTGGTGCTCGTAGGAATTCAGTCCTGCTGACTGGTCACCGAGTCTCAGATAACCCACTTAAAACCAGACAAAACACACTGCTTACATTATATAGCTTATGGCAACCTTGGAAATAAAGTTATCTCTTAAATCAACTCACTGTTATGCAAAACTAAATGTCCCCTCAAACTAGATTAAAAATCACACAATTGAGACTCTGCAGAAAACACTGGCCCAGGCTGCTGTAGGCCTTGCCACATACTATCCTGGGCACAGCAGAACCACAGCCTCTTACAACCTGCTAAAGGCTCTTTTCTGGAGCCCAAATTAGTTGGCAGTTTGGTTTCACTGTCATCATTAGGTATAACCAAATTTTTCTTATATTTTGGCAATCTTAAAACTCTGTGGTCAGAAATGAAAAACAAAACCAAAACAAAACAAAAAAAAACCCCCACAACTTCTATACAAGCAACACTAAGTGTTGGCAAGGATGCGGGAGAAAGGCACACTCTTACATTGCTGGTGGGACTGCAAATTGGTGCAATCTCCAAGTATGGAGATTCCTTATAAAACTTGGATTGGAACACCACTTGACCCAGCTATCTCACTCCTTGGTTTACATCCAAAGGACTTAAAAACAGCATACTACAGTGGTGCACCCACATCAGTGTTTATAGCAGCACAATTCACTATATCTAAATTGTGGAACCAACCTAGATGCCCTTCAATAGATGAATAGATAAAGAAACTGGTATTATGCACAATGAAATATTAGCATTAAAAGAGAATAAAGTCATGGCATTTGCAGGTAAATTTGATGGAGTTGGAGAATATCATGCTAAGTGAAGTAAGTCAATCCCAAAAAACCAAAGGTCGAATGTTTTCTCTGATAAGTGGATGCTGATCCGTAATTGGGGGAGGGGAGCATGAGAGGAATGGAGGAACTATGGATAGGGCAAAGGGGAGGAAGGGGAAGGGAGGGGGTCTGGGGGTAGGAAAAATGGTGGAATAAAATGGACATCATTATCCCTAGGTACATGTAAGAAGAAATGAATGGTGTGACTCTACTTTGTGTACAACCAGAGACATGAAAAATTGTGCTCCATTTGTGTACTATGAATCAAAATGTATTCTGCTGTCATGTATAGCAAATTAGAACAAATAAATAATTTTTTTTAAAAAAAAATCTGAACTACTGCCCATGGGCCAGTTCAAGAGTGGGGAGACTGCCTTCTAGCTTGTCACTGGGGCTTCTGAGAACCGTAGTCCTCATTCTGCTGCTTCCTAGGTTTAAGATCCTAGGCAAGTTATGTGAACTTGCTAGATGTCAGTTTCTTCATTCAAAACATAGGGATAACAGTAGCCACTTTGTGAGGTTGTTACAACAATTTGATGAGATAACTGATAACATGCCTGGGACATGCTCCACACCTTCTATTTATCTATTTTTTATTTACTTTTTACTTACTTATTTAGTGGCACTGGGGACTGAACCTGAGTGTTCTACCACTGACCTATACCCCTAGTCCTTTTTAAAAAATTTTGAGATGGGCTCTAGTTAAATTGACAAGGTTGGCTTTGAACTTGTGATTCCCCTGCCTCTGCTTCCCAAGCAGTTAGGATTACAGGCATGAGCTACCATTCCTGGTTTGACACATTTTAATTTAAACAGAACTAAAGTGAATGTAAACAGATATAATCCTCAACAAAAAAAAAAAATCATACTCTAATCACTCCTGCCAAGCTTCAGCTCAAGTCTCCTGGAGCATTCAGGAATAGTTTTTTGTTTTTTCCCTGTGTCATTTGACAAACACCACCATAAAACCGACAACCACTATCATACTGAGAGATTACTGCCAGCCCTGACTAACTCATTTACCAGCGTCATTCTCAATCCTCATACCAACCTTCCACGTAAGCACTGCTCCCCTTTCCCAGGTAAGGACACCAAGGCCACATGGCTACTGTGTGGCTGTCCTGGGGCTGTAGCAAAAGCCTTCTCTGGAGCAGATGCTCCTGGACCATGGCAATGTGAGCTTCTGCTCCTTGCCTGGGAACCAGATCCACTTTTAGCCACTGTTTCTACAGAACAGTGGGACCCAAATTCTAAACAGATTTTATAAATTCTTTTCTGGAACATAGCCCTTTCATAAATTGGAGTCTTCTATTAACCTCAACTGCATCCTGCCTGTTTTCCTTTTCTCCCTTTTAAAGTTTGGTGCTGATTCATCTACAACCCTATCTCAGTCCTTCCAGAAAACCAGTTTCATACAGAAGACAAGGTTACTATATGATCTGTTTGGACTGCTACTTAAAAAACAGTGATGACCATACAAAGAGTTGAATGGTGACATCAACCATTTATTTTGATTTAACTTGTCTGGCGCTTAAATTAAAGACGAATCCAAGGCATCTCACCTTTATGCTGAGTTCACAGGAAGCACAACCCAGAGTTAGATCCCAAGAGAGCAGGGACCGTGGTAAGACTATCTCAAGAAGCACTTACTGAGCCTGCAAGCCCTCCACAGTAGAATGTACAGTAAGTCAAATTCTCCTGACCACTGAAGGGTTCATGGTGATTACCACAAAGCAGCAGGGCAAGAGGCACCAAGATTAGGTGACACTGCCAGTTTGTCAGTGGAGCCTTGGGAGAGTGTGTGTCACAGACTGCTTTAAGAATCTAATGACAGGTAGGGCCCCTCACCCTAGGCATGTAAAATTTTCCTCTTACTTCAGGGAATTCCAAACATCAGATTAAGAATTCTTGCCTCTGTATAGTGTACTTCATTCCATTACAGGTCGTATTGCAATAGTTTGTTTAAAAGCTGCTAGGAGACACCCCCCCCCATCACCTGCTGCTATAGTTTGGACCCTAAATGCCCCCCCCCCCAGCCCATGTGTTAAAGCCTGGTCCCAAGAGGGATGCTACTGAGAGGTGCTAAAACTTCTAAGAAGTGGGGCCTAGTAGGAAGTCTTTGGGTTGCTGGGGTGTGTCCCAAAGTGGACTGTGAGACTCTGGTCTCTTTCTCTGTTCCCTGGTTCACGATGAGGTGGGTGCTCCTGTCCTACCACATACTCTGGCTGTAATATGCTGCCTTCCAATCATGGATGGGAAACTCCAAAACTTTGAGCCAAAACAAAGCTTTTCTCTTTGTGAGTTGATTATCTGGGAGATTTGTTTTAGTGATGGAAAGTTAACATACCCCCTACACAGTGTGGGGGTTCAGATTCATTTCCTGTTCCTTGAACTCAGCAAAGAGATGGTAATCAATAGCCCAGCTACCAAATAACATACTATCCAAACTAGAACACACTTCTGAGACTGAAGGGGGAACCATTAACAAACTTAGCAGGCATGCACAGGACTGCCCTAGTACCCGGGACACAGTCACCTCTAGGAGGCCCTGACAGGCTTCTTGAGGGAAGGAAGGAATCATATCACCTTCTTTCCCAGAGGACCTCCTGGAGTTTTACTGCTGTAGTCCACTCAGTCCATCGACCTTTCAGAGAAAAACATGCCAATGAATCTATCTGTTTATTAGAATCAGAGTCACATCTTGTACATGGAAGAGAAGGAACCTCAGTAGGAATCAGGAGATGGCTTGAGCTCTAAGCCCTGCTCCTGGCAGGTTAACTGTCTCTCTGAGTACCAGTGTCCTGTTTTGAGGTTAATTAAAGGTGCAGATATCTGAGTGGTACTCTATGCCAGGTGCAAGGGAAGGAAACATGCAGCCTATTAAGTGCAAAATGAAACAGGGGTCCTCTGGTCAAGCTCACCCACTCCCAGATTTACAATTTTCTTTTTCTTTTTTTTTTAACTGGGTATTGGACTCAGGGGCACTCAACCACTGAGCCACATCCCAGGCCTGTTTTGTATTTTATTTAGAGACAGGGTCTCACTGAGTTGCTTAGCACCTCACTGTTGCTGAGGCTGGCTTTGAACTCGCCATCCTCCTGTCTCAGCCTCACTAGCTGCTGGGATTACAGGCGTGCGCCACCACAACAGGTTCCAGGTTTACAATTTTTGCTGTTTGGTCTTCTTACATAACCATCGCCCCATAATCCAGAACTCTTGGCAAGGCTGAGAGCTAAATCTTTAGTCCTCTAATCCACAATGTTGAACCTGTCTAGGGAATAGAATGGCAAGTGTCCATTATCCTGTCTCTGTGCCAACTGCACCTGGCAGATGACACTTGATACGTGCTCGGTGAATAAATGACAAAATCTCATTACTTAAGTAACTGTCCCAAACGACCAATGTAGAACTTAGACACAAAGTGGGTGCCATCTCTCCTTGGAAAAGACACTCTGGAGGCAACACTCTGATTCCAATGGCACTGTTGACCTGCAGGACATTTTTTGGAACTTCTCTTTTTGAATGAGCTTTGCAGTCTGTAGAACACTCTTTGGATGTGCTCAGTAGTGGCCAATCCTCCTCTTTGCAGGTGGGTCACTTTGAGAAACTATTGTAAGAAACTCAGAGACTGGTCTAGCATCAAGCCAGGTAAGATAACTCTTGGTCAAACATGGGGTGCGACTATTGAATGAGACCAAATTTCTCATAAGCAAGAAGCTATGAAGTGGTTTTAGCAAAGGATCATCAATGCAATAAAAGTATAATCTTTTGGGACAATTACTCTTAACAGTGCATCCCCCTTTGAATGCCTAAGTTCTGATATATCTGGTTAAAATTCTGATGCCTAGGGCTGGGGATGTGGCTCAAGCGGTGGCGTGTTCGCCTGGCATGTGTGCGGCCCGGGTTCGATCCTCAGCACCACATACAGACAAAGATGTTGTGTCTGCCGATAACTAAAAAATAAATATTAAAATTTTCTGTCTCTCTCTCTCTCTCTCTTAAAAAAAAAAATTCTGATGCCTAATTTAATGGACTTAGCAATATCTAAATGAAAGCTGTCAAGATTAGTGGCACATACCATTCCCAAACTGACTAAGCTCAACCACCAAAAACTCCCTGGTAAGAAAGTACTCACCTTGAGACGATCTGGAGTTGTGATAAGGTGAAAAATATCTTTAAACATGAGCAAGGCCACAGTTTACCTGTCTTTCTGGAGTGATTCCACAAAGCTCTCTCACAATGTTTGAGCATTTCCCATCTACAACAGAAGAGTTCCAGGCTTTGGGACACATTTGACTGGTTCCAGAGCTGGCTGGGCTCCACATGTGTGCTCAGATTTTAAAATTATCAGGCAAAGGTTCTCCTCCCATGGCTGGAAAGTGGGATACAGCCTAGGTCCAGGCCCACCCTGAGAATCCCAATCACTGAACTGAGATGGGCAATGCCACATTGGTGAGGCTCATAGAAGAAACGATGAGAGCCTTGTGACACCCCAACAGTACTTCAGGTGCCAAATGCCCTCTTCCATTTCCCCCAAATGGGTCTGAAGAATGACCTACTCTTGGAAATGAGTTTACTAAACGAAGCTCATTTAAAACGATCAACCACTGGGCCCAGTAAACTCAACTGTGAAAGTATTCGGGAAAACTCAAGTTCCAGCAGGAGCAAGACTGTAAGTCTTGAAGTCTTATTTGCTTCCAGCATCATAACTGCAGTTACTTTATGTCAAGAACCCGGCATCTCTGAGCTCCCGATCAAAGGGGCAAGAAGTTACACATTCCTAGGAGCCCAGCGCGCGTCTTGGGGCGCAGTCGGTACGTCCAAGCCGTGCTGCGGGAGCTGCGGGAGCAAGTTCCAGCAGGCTCCAAAGAGCTCAAAGTTCCCCGAAGAGCCCATCGACAGTCCGGGCGGGCCTTCTCCCGGGCGAACCAGCGTGCTCTCTCCCCGCTTTGTGGGCGGCAAACATGTGCCACGCGAGTGGCCCGGAAGAGAAATGACAGCTTCAGGAAAATCCACTCCGCCGCGGGCGGGAGGCAGCGCGCGGGGCCGCGGGGCCCGGGCGCCCAGACCGCGGGCCGGGCTCGCGCCCGTCTCGGCGTCCCGCCCCGGCTCGGCTCTCTGCGGCCCGCGGTTGCGCACGGCGGGGGCGCGCCCGAGCGCTGCGGAGGCGGCGCCGGGCTCCGGGCCTCGCTCCCGCCGCCGAGGCGGCCTCCCCCCGCCGCCCGTCGGCCGCGGCCGCGGCCGCTTACCTCAGCGCGAGGGCGGGGAGGGGGCCACGGCTCCGCTAGGGTCGGGGCGGCGCGGGCAGGACGTCCCTCGGCCCTTCTGCTCCTCACGGGCTCCGGTTTCAGGCGCGACGCTGGCGGAACAAACGGGCTCCACTACCCGCGGGGGCCGGCCATTGTGCGACGTCATCGGGCCGCGACGGCCGTCCTGCGGGCCGCGGGCTTCCCTCGCTCGCTCCGCCCCTCGCGCTTCCTTCCGGCCTCCGTGCGGGCGCGCCACGGCGCAGGCGCGCGCATCGCCCCGCCCCCGAGGCGTGTCTCTGGATCCGTCGGCGACCCGACGGCGCCAGCGCGGGGCCGACGGTCTCGTGAGGTCGGTGGGGTCGGGTGGCGGCGACTCGGTGGTTCTGGGAGCGTCTGCTCTGCTGTTTAGAGTGGCAGCTTGACCCTGCTGGTGGTCGCGGCCGGGCCTTCCTCGCACCCGCGCTCTCAACCCGGTTGATGCGGGACAGGTGTTTGCGGCCGCCCGGAGCCTGCTGCCCGCCCGCAGCTCTGCGGCTGATCCCGGCGCGGGCTGGCTGCCCTGCGAGCGGCCTGCCCCTGCGGCCTCCCGGCCAGCACACAGCGGAAGCAGCCGATGTCCTGAAGGAAGGACAGAAGGTGGGCTGTCATCGGTGCGTGGGCATGGGGTCCTGACATCGGCTGGCCCGGAACGCACCGGGAAAACCCGGGGAGAGCGCAGCCCGCGGGTCACGTGGCGCGATCCCGGGCTCCGGGCCGAGGCCGGAGGCCCGAGCCCCGCTCCGCACTTCTCGGGTGGAGCGCTGGCCTCCAGCTCCTGTGTATCGGAGGTAAGGCCTCTAAGGGAGTAAGGCTGGACGGATTGAGGTCGTAAAGTGGAGCCCTGATCCATGGGAGTAGTGACCTTGTAAGAGGAGACACCGGAGAGCTCTTTCTTGCCTTCCACCCGGGAGGATGCAGGGAGAGGCGGCCCTCTACCAGCCAAGGAAAGCCCTCACCGTAACCCGCTGTGTGGCCCGTGATCTCAGCCTCTAGCCTCCAAACAGAAAATAAATATCTGCTGCTTAAATCACCATCTAGAGTACTTTGTTGTAGCAGCCCGAGATTACTCATCTATTTTATTTATATGCAATAACCAGAATAGGAAAATTCACAAAGTCAGGAAGAGTGTGAGGCGTGGAGAATATTTGTTGGGTACAAGTTGCTTTCCGAAGTAATGATTATGTTTGATTAGGGAACGGTAGTCCCACTTTGAGTATATAAGACTCATTGAACTAACTGCATGCTTTAAAAGGGCGAGTTTTGCTGAATGTGGTGGTGTACACCTGTAATCCCAGCAATTTGGGAGACTGAGGCAGGAGGATCGTAAGTTCATGGCCAGCCTGGGCAACTTACTGAGACCCTGTCTCAAATAAAAAGGACTGGGGATGTAGCTCAGTGGTAAAGTGCTTACCTAGCAAGCACGAGGTCCCTGGGTTCAATCTCCAGCGCCACATACAGAAAAAAAGGGTGTGTGTGTTATATAATGTTTGAATTATTTATCAATAATGATGATTTTTTTTTTTAAAGAAAAATGAGGGGAGATAAAGGGAAGGGGAAAGGGTAGGAAGAGATGGGGCAAGTCTGCCTTCTAAATGTATCTTAAATTGTCCTTCCCTCTCTGCTATCCACCCCTGGTTCCTGCCACCATCACCTGCCAGGGTAAATGCCACAGCTTCCCTATTGTGTGGTTCCTGCCACTGTCTCATCTTCCCAAGCATCGAGAGCTGCCTTTTCTAAATCTCATATAGGTTTTGGGTCTCTCACTTCAGCTTGAACTGGCTTTCTCTGGACACCAGATAAAACCCAAACTCCTGAGCATGATGTACCAGGTTGAAACTTACCTTCACGCCTGGCTTTCTCCACCTCTTTCTCTGCCCCCAGGTCTTTGCACAGGCCGTTCTGGTTGCCAGGAACATGGTTCCCACCTTTCTCCTTTGCATGGCTTGCATTTCATCATTCTTCAGGTCTCCCGGCATCCAGACGCTCTTCTCAGGAGCCTTCCTGATGCTCCTGAACTTTATTTGTCACTGGAAAAAAGAAAAAGAGGGTGAAGTTCATAATTGATGCTGAACAAAAAAGCCAAGTGGCAGAAGAAAACAAAGATGAAAATTATAAAATGAAAATCATGAGCTTTTGCAAGGATGTGGGGCAGGTGAGATTCACTGCTGCTGGGAGTGTAAATGGTGAATCGTCCTTGAGACAGGGTCTCACTGAGTTGCCCAGAGCCTTGCCAAATTGCTGAGGCTGGCTTTGAACTTGAGATCCTCCTGCCTCAGCCTCCTGAGCTGCTGGGATCACAGGTGTGTGCCTCCACATGCAGCAGTATAAATGTTATATAGGAAGACGCGCCAGGAAGTGGAGCTGAAACCAGTCACCTCTTGGAGTGGAGTGGGAAGGAAGAGGGACAGGAACCAGCTTTTTAAATCAACTGTACGAGTGATTCATGAAGTGTTGGGGGCAGGGGGGGCGTTTTCGCAAGGTGGCTGCCTCAGTCCCACCCGACTGTCATCACTCTGTGGTAGGGCCTGGCCCTTTGCTGTACAGGGCACGCCTCCCAGGACGCCTTAGAAGTTTTCCTCCAGTCCCTTATTTGTAGAAGGGAAGGCTGAAGCCGGGTGTGCCTGGCCACTTTTATGGTCAGATCTCCCAGCTCCTTTTTGGGTCCACTCTGTGAAGTTGCTTCCAAAGAGGATGGTGACTGCACAGTGAACTCTTGAGCAGAGGAGTAACAAATTAGCATGTAGGTAATTTTCTTTTGGTGCCAGGGATTGAACCCTGGGGCACTTTACCACAAAGCTACACCCTGAGTGAGCTCTTTTTAATTTATTTTTTGAGACAGACCTTGAATTTGTGACCCTCCTACTTCAGCCTCCTGAGTCCCTGGCATTACAGGTGTGCACCACCATGCCTGGCTCGTGTAGGTGATTGTAAAGGCCCTTGTTGATAACGCCTTTGTCCCAGTCACCTTCCAGTCTGTTGCAGTTGAGTGTCTTTTCCCTGGTTTTCGTGATCTGGTCCCTTTTGGGAGCATGCCTGGTAATGATTTAATGCTGGCCGTGGTAGATCTGTTACTTACTGTGAGGGGACCAGCGCAGTGTGGCCTGCTCTAGACTAGGTGAGGCCTCCCTATATGGCAGCCAACCTGTTGGGGCATCCTGGGGGCCCTGTTAAGGCTTACTCTGGGGCTTATAGAGCTGCTGTTTATTTGGGGAGCCCTTGCCTCTGGAGAGGAGACTTCTGTGCTCTCCTGGGAGATCCCTGGGGTGTTACCGGCCTTGCCTTGGTGGGCTCAGGGTCAGCCTGATCCTCGCACAGGGCGAGCGCGGGACCCTGCAGCTGTTCCTTCCTCAGGAGCTTCCCAGGCCTCATGCAGCTTGTGGGCAGGCCATAGCCTGTAGGGAGTCTGCACCAGGTTCCTGGGCTCCTTCTCCAGTTTTTCCCTTCTAGATTTGCCTAGCTCCAGTCCTGTTCCTCAGCTCAGCAAGGTTCTCTGTTTTCTCTTCTCTGATCCACCCTGGGAAGATGCCCACTGGGGAAGCCAGGGAGCACAGGCCCCCTTGTTTCCTTCTCTCACGGCCTCAGGCCTGGGGCGCTGGGTGCCCTGCAGGCCTCAGTGCTTGTACATGCGTGCTCACGCTGTCCAGCTTTCACAGTTGTCTTTAGCCAGAGGGTTGCACACAGCAATTCTCTCTGCAAGCAACATTTTATTTATGTAAGATTTTGGTGCATTATGATTTTACACTCCTAGGTGCACATACATAATCGGCTTATTCCCCAATATCTCCTCTCCCCCTTCTGCTTGCTGTGCTCCACTCTGCTGATAATCCTTCGATTGTTCTTCTTATTTTAATTAATGCGTTATAATGTGCAAGATTCGTTGTGGCAAAGTCCCAGGATTTCATTCCACCCCGCTTCCTCTTGGCTTAGAAGCTGCATTTTAGGGCAAACCTTCCCTAATTCCTCATGTAGCCACCAGAGGGCACATCTGCCTGCCTAGCTTGTGCTCAGGTGGGTCAGGCCCTGGGCCTGTGGGTGCGGCTTGGAGGAAGTCCTGCACCCTAGGCTATGTGGGACCCCCACTTCCACCACACCCTGCTTCTGCTGTAGGGAGATGGTAACCCACCCAGTCTCCTTCCCGCCCTAGAGACATGCAGGAGCCCCCAGTCCCCCTGCTTCCCTGAGGAGTTAAGACCCCCAGGGCACTTGGGCAGGATTCCTGGCCCCCCACGCTGCGCCAGGTAAGGTCCTGGATGGCCGTAGCAGGCTGGGGGAGTGAATGCCGAGTGAAAGAACAAGTGTCCTCTGCTTCTACCCAGGCCTGGGATTCACCGAGGCCTGGCATTTCTTCATGGGGTCACAGCTACACCCCAAAGTACTGCTCTGTGTTGGTGTGGGCCAGGGAACCACTCTGATCATCCCGGGCCTCCCCACTCTGATCCAGCCAGGACCTCCCCACCCAAGGCCTCTGCCATCCGCAGAGCCCTTTCTATAACAGTGGCTGTGGTAGCCAGTGTCCAGACGGCCCAGTAGACCACTGCAGGGATTTGTCCTCCTGTCTGTGCTGCCTGTGACTCCTAAACCAACAGATGCAGGGTGTGGTGTGAACCTCAGGGAGGCCTGGCGATTTCCTGCCCTGTAGGCAGTGTGGGGAGTCTGGCTACTCTAGCCTCATCTCAAGGAGAAGAGTCACCTAGCTGGCCCACAGGAGGGGAGACAGCAAGGCAGCAGTGCTGAAGC